TTTGGAATATTTAGATTTTTCGCCCAACATCCCCCTGTAGGGGGACAGGCCCGACCTAAATTTAAACCTGTTTGGAAATCAAATCACAGGGAACTACACGATGCACGGGGAGTGGACGTTCGAGCGATGGCAGGCAGGAGGCGGGAGGAGGAGGAGGAGGAGGAGGAAGACGACGACGACGATGTCCACGTTGACGAGGACACTCACGAGGACGAGGACGAGGAGGACGGCGACGACGACGACGACGACGCTGGCGGTGGCGGCGGCGGCAGCGACGGCGACGACGACGACGACGAGGGCGACGAGGACGAGGACGAGAACGAGGACGAGGACGAGGACGGCGACGACGACGAGGGCGACGGCGACGACGACGACGGCGACGACGGCGACAGCGACGGCGACGGCAACGACGACGACGGCAACGACGACGAGGACGAGGACGAGGACGAGGACAGCGACGACGACGACGGTGACGACGACGACGACGACCAGGACGACGATGAGGACGAGGACGACGACGACGACGACGAAAGGGAGCTGGGGGACGAGGGGGTGCTTGAGCGTGCTCGAGGGTGCTGGAGTTGAAGGACGAGCTCGAGCGCCTCGCCCTCGACCACGTGCGCGCCGGCAGGGCCCGCGCAGCCCGCGCCGCGGCCCGGCGGCAGGCCGCGCCGGAGGGCTCGCCGGAGGGCGCGGGGGCCGCGCAGGGCGCCGCGGAGGACCCGCTGCTGGAGGCGCGCGAGGCCTCGAGGCGCAGCGATGACAAATCGATATATATATATATATATATACACACATATATATATATATCCATAACATGATCTACGGCTTTCAACATAGACCCTTGATCTGCACGCCATATTGCTCATCTACTTGAATCAAAAGACTACCCACCGCCTGCCACATTAATTCTGGCGATCAGAGGAGTTTGCCAGCGAGTCGTGGGAGCCTTGTGTGACCTTCGGGGTTGGACAGACCTCCTACCCTGACACGTCGATTCAGGGATTGGCCGTTTTCGGTTCGCGAGGGGGCGTCGCGGCCGTCACTTTTGCGGGTCCATTTCCGTCGGTTTCGGTCCCAGGCGCTTTCCACTAAGGGGAGGTTCACTAAAAGGAGGTTTGTCCACCGCCGAGGCCTTGTAACTCTGTCTCTAGAGTGCACTAGCGCCGATTAGCGTCTGGTAGTCGATGAGATCGTGCCGATGTAGCATCGATACGCGTCGATCTAGCGTCGATCTAGCGTCGGTCTAGCGTCGATCTAGCGTCGATGAGCGTCGATTCGCAAGAGCCAACAAGGTGGTACGACAGGCTCCCATCAGTTGCCACACACGAGGAGGAACAGGTACCCATACTGCTACCCCTCGCCCATTGTCCCTTTGTTGGTGCATCCTCGGGGGCCCACGTCGCCAAGGCTGGACTCGCCTGGAAATCCTGATCAGACTGCACCCCGGGAGAGGTCCAGGGAGCAGCAGTATTGTGTACCCTTTGGTTTCCACAGATGGGGTCGGAGGATCGCGCAGCATCGCTGCAGCAGCGGCGATGCGGCGCGGTGCGGAGTCCCATGTTCTCCCTGCCGACATCATCTCGGCGATGCAGCGGCGACGCGGCGCGATCCTCCGACCCCATCTGTCACCGAGCGCGTTCCACTACTCGCAAAGTGCCTACACGCAAACATCCGAAAAAACATCTAGCGGACTCGACGTAACTAATCGTGCATCCCCCGCGGCGGATCCAGGCCACGTGCGATCAGCTTGCTCAGCTTCTTCGCGAGTAGTGGAGCGCGCTTGTCCACTCTACTCGAACCCCATCTGGGAGGCCTCTGGATGAGATTCATCGAGGATTTTATCTGTAATAGATGCAACAAAAACGCACGATTTAAAAAAACAACAAAATCATGCTTTCTGGGAGGTCCACGCAGAGTTTTCGGGTTGGCGCCAGGCCCCCCTGGCGGCATCTCCGGCGCCGCCCCTGGCGCGTTCCGCGCGCCAGGGAGGGGGCGGGGCTTGAGCTAAACAGGGTTTGGGCGAGTTCGTGGACCGTTTTGGTTTTGAATTCGCTTCGCAGCAAGATCAGAACGAAGACAGAGCGAAGGAACACGAAGACAACGAAAACGAGAATCACTATCTAGCTCGAGCCCTGGGAGGGGGGCAAAGCACCGATCCAAGAGATCCAAGCGGACCTACGCTTCTTTGGCGTCTTGCTCCTCTGACCGAGGGGAGGGAGATCTACCGATGCCGCTTCTGGTCCTGGAGGGCCCTAGTCGTTGTAACACGCCCCCGTGGAGGTCCGGGGAGTGGCGGTATCGGTATTTGCTCCCCCGACGACACGAACGAAAGAATCCGCTCAGCAGTGTCCTAAGGTACTTCTAGGCTCTTGGAGGTTTTTTACTCGCCTCGGAAAGCGTTCCGAAAGCTGCGCCTCACGTAGGGCGCTCTCCCATGCCCGAAAGCCGCTCAGAGGTCCTCAAGACGCTCCAAGAGGCCCCTCAGAGGAGCTCCAGAAGGCAAACCTTGTCCCATGCCCTGAGGGGAACGTACATTTTTAGCACATTCGCGTCGAGGGGGAGGTGGAGGAGGAGGAGGAAGAGGAGGAGGAGGAGGAGGAGGAGGAGGAGGGTCTTCGGTCTTCACAGGCCCCGAAGGCCCGCCCCAAGACGGCCCGCGCGGCCCCCCGAGAGAGACGAGGCTCGCCGCAGGAAAAGAGATGCCGACGCTGGCCGTCCCTCGTCGCCCTGGCCGGGTGCGGCCTCGGAGTGCCCGGCCAGGGCGCAGACCCCCGGGAAAGAAATGGGTACAAAAGAATGGGTACAAAAGAAATGGCTTTCGGTGCGCGGGGCTGGGTTTCGCTGACGAGGGGAGGGGGTGGTGTTACAGGCGGGTTGGGTCGGGCGGGGCGGGATATTGCAGCGTGATGCATCATCGAATAGGCACGCGTGCACCCTAACGGGCGGGTTGTGTCGCGGGCGGGCGGGTCGGGTCGGGCGGGCTAATAACGGGCGGGTCAGGGCGGGAGGGCCGGTGGACTCCCGAAATGGGTACGGAAAGAATGGGTACAATGCCCAACAGCAGTTCCTGTTCATTTTGAACAGAACTCGCTGTCCACGCCGCCGCGGCCTGTGTCCATTCGAGACACAAGGCTGCCTGCCCAACAGCGGCCGCTGTTGGTTTGGGACAACATTTGTTGTCGGGCATTGTACCCATTCTTTCCGTGCCCATTTCGGGCGTCCAAAGTCTGGGGAGCGACAAACTGGGCATATTCGCCAGCCGCTGAAGGTTGCAAGTGGGCAGATTGCGAAGGCCTTACGGCCGGTGCCGCCGACCCTGAAGACGACGACGACGACGTCGACGACGGCGATGAAGGGCGAGGAGACGGAGGAGGAGGAAGAGGAGGAGGAGGAGGAGTAGGAGGAGGCGTAGTAGCAGCAGGAGGAGGAGGAGGATGAGGAGCAGCAGCATCAGCCCGGACCACCCCCGCGGCCCAATCAGGCCATGCTGCATTTCTTCATTCCAGATCCATTTTTGGCGGCCCCTCCCGACCCAAAACGGGCTTCCAGGGGCAGAACGTGGCGGAAAGATCGCCTGGGACATCAGGCCCAGACGTCCTCCTCCTCCTCCCCCTTCCCCCTCCTTCTCCTCCATGAGGGGAGAAGGAGGAAGGGGGGGAGGAGGAGGACGCAGACGATGAGGAGGACGAGGAGAGTGACGGGGGGGAGGAGGACGGTGAGGGGGAGGAGGAGGAGGAGGAGGACCTTCCCCTCTTCTTCCAGGGGCAGGGGAGGAGCCTTTTGGGGGCTTCTTGGGGCGTCTATGGGAACTCTTTGGGGCTCTTGGGGCTTCTTGGGGACGTCCTGGGCCGTTTCGGGGCGCTCTTACGCTGTCTGGCCCCTTCGGAGGCCATCTTGGAGGCCTCTCGCGGCCGCCTTGGGGCTCTTTTGGAGTCATCTTGGGCCGTCTTGGGGGCCTCTTGGACCGTTTTGGGAGCCTCTTTTGGCTGTTTCGGGGCCCTCTTGGACTCTTGGGCCGTCTTGGGGCCGCCTTGGGGGCTTCTTGGGCGGTCTTGGGGTCTTCTTGGAGGCAGCTCGGGCCATGAAGATCTTCTGAAAGCCGAAAAGGGCGATGACACAAAACGTGTCAAACACAAACGGTCAATCAATGATTTTGGCCTCTGGAGGCGCTCCCTGGGGTTCTCCTGTGACCCTCCTGCGCCATTGTGGGGGCCCCGTGGGCACTCTTGGGGCCACCTTGGGCTGTCTTGGGGCTGTCTTGGGCCGTCTTGGGGCCATTCTGAGCTTGAGGCCTTCTTGGAGTCCCAAGAGGCCCAAGAGGCCGAATTTGTTGATTTTCCATCTGTTGCTGTAGGTTTTGCACCCCAGAGTGAGGGCCGAGGGAACACGAATCTGGGTGACGACCCCCCCCGGAGTTCCCTAAGACCCCCCGACACCCTCCCCCCCCCCGCGCGGGGAAGGGATCAAAGGGAAGGAGCTTCCCTTCGATTCCCCTCCTAGGTTGTTCAATTCCGCTGTGGACGGCCGGTCTGAGGAAGTGGACCCAGGTGAGTGGAACGGCCGGTCTGAGGAAGAGATCCCAGGTGAGTGGAATTCAGGAAGTCGGAGACGACGAGTCGAACGGGAAATCCCGACTCAGACTCAAGAGCCCCTCACACACGCCGACAGGGTCGGCGGATTTGATGCCCACTTCAATATACACGTCGTTGAAAGCTGAAAGTTGAACGTCGGCATATTTTGAAAGTCGGTTCATTTTTAAAGTTGGAATTTGAAAGTCGGCATGCCTCTACCCACTTCCTCCGACCGACGGGTATAAGCGTGAGTATTCGGGTGTCTGTGCGGACTGCTCGGGTCGGCGCCGGACTCCCCGGGCGCCGAATTGGGCGCCGCCTTTGGCGCGCTCTCCGCGCGCCAGCCAGGGAGGGGAGTCCAGCGTCCGCGCAGACCTCCAGGAGTTCATGATTGCTTATTTGTTTGTTTCTTCGCCTAGGCACGCGATGACAGAAGTCATCTCCGCGATCCTGCAGAAGGGCCTGTCGACCTCCGCGTGCGTGGACCAGCTGGACATTGCGAACAACCACTACGGCTCCAGCATGGTCTGGCCGCGCAGCCCGAAGGACTTCGCCCTGGAGGAGGGCGACATGGACGGCTTCGAGCCCGCCGTCGGCAAGCTCCGGAAGAACGGCTTCGTGTGCGTCGAGGGCCTGCTGGACGCTGAGATCGCGGCCGCCGTCCACGCGAACTGCTCGGAGCAGTTCTGGGCGCGGCGCGGCGCGGGGGCCATGCGGCCCGCGGGGGGCGCCGCCTCCGCGGGCCACGAGTGCTGGGTGCCGTACCCGCCCCGGCGGGGCACGCCGCCGGAGCTGGGCCACGCGCTGCGGATCCTCTTCGGGCTGCCGCGGGAGATCGAGCGGCACGGCTACCCAGTCAGGCTGAAGGTGCCGCCTCTCAGTATCGGTTAACCTAACCCCAACCCCATGAAGCCTCCCACCAGCCCACCCCCTCCCGCCGCCCCCGACTTGGGGATATACCCTCCAAAACCCGAGGGAGACGGCCTATATCCCCATCTCGGGGGGTAAATCCCTAAGTGGAGAAAAGGCCACCTAGATGGGGATAGGGTTCGTATAAACGATGCCCAGCCTCCTCCTCCTCGGAGCACGCCCTCCCGCGGAGGTCTCGTAGTCTCTGGCGTCTCGCGCCCGCTCTGCGCCCTCCCTCCCGTCCGATCTCGCAGCACACGCCGCGCCCCCGCGCACGGCGGACACTGCCTGTGCATCTTGTGGGGGGGGAGGGGCCGCGGCGGGCGGCGGCGAGCTCTCCGCCTGGGGGCCGGGGGTTGGGGGGGGGGGCGCAGGGGCAGCCCGCCTCTTCCTCCCCGTCGCCCTCCTCAATTTCTTCGGAAGAACAACTAAAGTCGAGCTCACGCGGGTGAACATTTCACCGCAACTGCAAAGGTTTAGTTCCAGACGGTCGCTGCGCGCGTCGCTCGCGCACCCGTTCGATCACCCTTCCGCGCACACGTCCCCGCACCCTTCTTATCCCCGAGAGTTCCACGTCTAAGCTGACCGTACAACTTCTTCCTCCTTCGCCGAGCTGTGGGGGCGACGATTCGCCGGCAGCGCCAGCTCCTCCTTCTCCTCCTCCTCCTCCTCCTCCTCCTCCTCCTCCTTCGCTGTCGCGAACCCTCGGTCCCGCGGCGCTGCCGGCTCCGTGGCTCCGTTCCCAGAAGGAGCCCGTGCCCCGACAGCTCCTGGCGCGTCTTGCGAGCGTCCGCCCGTGCGTGCGTCAAACCGACGCGGCATTGCTCGGACGCGTGCAGCTCTTCCCGGCGGGGGTCCTCGTCAGGGGGCGGAAAAACGCACAGACACAATTGATCCTCGATTCCAACGAAAACATCGGAAAATGTGGGAAGTGGGGGGAAGGCAAAATATGGGAAGTGGGAGCAGGTTGGTCGGGGGCGGCAAAGAGGGGGATGATGACTAGGGTGGCGTGGATATCATGGCGGGGGCCATGATGTCTCCCCAGATCTCGTGGCGCGTCGTCTCATTTCATTACGTCCCTGGCCCCCGCGCTGGGCCGCGCACATGTCGCCGGCCATGACTTGCACCCCCCCCTCTTGGACACCCCCCTCTTGGCCGCTCCCGAGGTTGAGCCATCGTACGCGAAAAGATACTGTTTTGGGGGCGTGGCCGGAAGCTCTGAGGCAGTTTTCGTGCACCGTTGACGCTTAACGACGGTTGCACACACCATGCCTGCGCTCAGCTGTAGGTCGACGCGCAGATCTGTGACAGGTCTGAGTCTTGCATGTCTGATGCGTTTGCCCGCGGTTCCTGGGACAACAAAACACGATTACGTACACGAGAAAATACAGTGCCGTTTTTAATACATGCTCCGCGTGCGGATCATATAATAAACATGCAGGGGTTCCGTACTGAAAACACGGACGAGTTCATGCATAAATGTATCCATACATTAAGCATGTATTAACATCCTATATGTTTAGATACCCGATGTATTCAAAACTGCCTTGTGAACGCACGCAGCCGAGAGACGGCACGGGGAGGGGGCGTCCGAGCGGTGGCGCGCCGAAGGTGCCCAACATGGCCCGCCTGGGCTGCCTCGCGCCGGGCAAGGGGCGCGAGGGCCTCCACCTGGACGGCGCGGGCGCTGCCGGCCGCGAGCTGAGCCTGGTGCTCTTCCCAGGGGAACGAAAAGTGGCACAAACATAACAACCCGGAGGTCCGCGCAGATTTCTCGGATCGGCGTTGGGCCCCCCCGGCGGCGCCTCCGGCGCCGCCCCTGGCGCGCTCCGCGCGCCAGGGAGGGGGGTCCAGCGCCGATCCGAGAAATCCGCGGGGACCTCAGAGTTTTTATGTTTGTGTCACTTTTTGTTCCCCTACTTCCTGTCGCCGGGGTGGGTCAAGGGCGACGGGGGCGAGCTGCGCGCCTACCTGAAGGACCGGGTGGGGCGGAGCGGGGGGCGATATGCTGGCAGAGGTGGTGCGCGGGGACTGCTGCCCGCAGCTGGCCCGAAGTCGGGCCATGCCCTGCAGAGGAGGAGTTTGGAATTCTTCAAATGTTTCAAAATAGGCTGGGGACGATTTTTCGATCATGTTTGATTGGTATATTTCATGTGTCTGGGGCTATTTCTCATCTTCCCTTCGAAATTCGCGCCTGTGGGAGGACCTGTCCGACCGGAAGCTGGCCTCGGCCCCGCCGCTGGGACGATGCTTCGATTATGTTTGTTTGGTCTATTTCATGTGTCTGGGGCTATTTCTCATCGTTTCTGCGAAATTCACGCCTGTGGGAGGACCTGCCCGACCGGAAGCTGGCCCCGGTCCCGCCACCGGGCACCTCCTCGGTGCGCTGGCGCCGCCCAGTCCCGGGCGGCACCAGGATTAAGCTGGCCGCGCGAGGTGGCTCGTTGGCCGGTGGAGTGGCAGAGCGCTCAACTGTCGGGTATGGCCAGGACCCCGGGTAAGGGGACCCGGTGAGTGGCAGGGCCGGGCGAAAGGGGGGGATTGGGAAAGGGGGGGTTACGAAATTTGCTGCATGCAGCTGGTTTCGGCCTCACCGAGGGGCCCAGTCCTCGATACATAGCCGCCTCCGGCGCCGGGAGGCGCTGGGAAAATCAGCTACTTGAGCTGATTCTCAAAACCCCCCTTTGCTATCCCCCCCTTGCGCCCGACCCGATAGAGGTAGGGCCCTGGGGCCCCTCAATTGGCCAGATTCACTAAACCAGGTTTGCCGTAACTGGTGTTTTTTTCTGGCGAGACGGCAGTTCCGGTGAGCGGAAAAGGGTGGGGGGGGGGCGCCCCCCGGTACGCATCATTGAACCAGGTTCCACTAAACCCAGTTCCGCCAACGCCCGAAACTGGGCGCCGTGGCATAGGGTGCCGGCTGCGAGAAAGCGAGGCGGACAGCACAAACGCTGGACCGACGCTGGACGACGACGCTGTGTTTTCCGCAGCCCGGCGCAAGGCCGGAGGTGCAGGGGCGCTCCTGACACCTGTATGAGTTGTCTCCCTCTCTCTCTCTCTCTCGTTCTCTCTTTTTGTCCCTGACCTTCCAGGAGTCTGAGCCTCCCAGACGTGGTCCGAGCAGATGTGGGGTCGGAGGATCGCGCCGCATCGCCGTTGCATCGGCGATGCGGCTCGATGTGGGGTCCGCTTTTCTCCACGCCGATGGCGCCGACGTATCGCCAACGTCGCCAGTGCATCACCGTTGCATCGGCGATACATCGCCGATGTATCGGCGATGCGGCGAGATCCTCTGACCTCATCTATTCGCACCCCATCTAGGAGGTGTCTAAGGAGTGTTAAAAAAGAGCACCAGGACCTCGACATCTGAATTCCTTTCGATTTTTCCGGCCGTCCAGATAGGTCTTCAGGTCTGCAGGGCTATTTCTGCATTCTGGAAGGTCAGGGTCCCCCCCCCCCTGACCTTTCAGCGTGCCAGAAAAACATTTCTCCAGACCTACAGACCCACCTGGACTGCCTTAAGACCTCGACGGGAATTCGGATGTCGAGGTCCTGGTGCCATGTTTTAACCCCCTCCTGGAAGGTCCGGGCCCGCGACCCGAGAGGAGGACGCAGATTCCCCCGGCCCGCGCCCGAGCGATGCAGACCGCGAGGGCGCCGAGGCGGGCGCCACCGCGGACGCCGAGGAGCCTGGGCCGGCGCCCGGCGGCGCGCCGCGGGCCAAGGGCTACGAGCCCGAGGCCGGGCGCTGCCTCATATTCCGGTCGGGTGAGCTGTGGCACGAGGTGCGGTCGGTGGCAAGTTATGGGAGCCTGGCCTACCCTGGTAGCGTCGATCCGCGTCTGGAAGTCGATGGCCCGTCGCCGACTTAGCGTCGGCTGGCGTCGATGTAGCGTCGATGTAGCTTCGATTAGGGTTGATTTAGCGGCGACTAGCGCCGAGTCGTGAGTGCTGACAAGATGGTATGGGAGGCTTCCATGAGTTGCCACCGAAGGGTCAGAGGAGGAAAAGGTACCAATACCGCTACGTTTGCCTCGTTTGCGCTTTGTTGTGTCTCGTTGGAGGCCCTCGTCGCCACGGCTGTATGCACTTCGAAATGTTGGTCAGACCGCACCCCAGGAGAGGGCCAGGGAGTAGCAGTATCGGTACTTGTTGGTTTCCCCAGAGGTGCTGCCTGCGAGGAAGCGGCTGTACACGCTGACGCTGTTCGTACAGCGCGACAGCTGACCTGGCGGGAAAAAGATTGCCACCCTGACGCACGTTCTTGTCCCCATACTCGTCCCGCTTCCGATCTGCAGAATTCGTCGAGCTTCCCTCATGTTGGAATCGCCTTGGGCTTGTCCCTGATACGTACTGCCATCGCCTTACGGTTGCCAACCGTAGGGATTGGCGAATAGAGTTCAAGTTGGAGGCTGGTTGAACGCGACGACCTCGATTCGTCCCGTCTCTGCGGCCCCGTGATCCGGTAGCAAGTCATGGAAAGAGCGTGTTCTACCGCTGCTGGCGGAAAAACGGGGGGGGTCACTACCGGTTCGAACCCCTCCCCCCCCCCCCCCTCCGGAAAACCGGGGGGGGGTCACTACCGGTTCGAACCCCTCCCCCCCCCCCCCAGTTCATCATGGAAAGGGGGAAGGGGTCACTACCGGTTCGAACCCCCTCCCCCTCGAAAACCGAGTGGGGGTGAAGACAGTGGGTGGTGGGGACGGTACCGTGTTGGTGGGGACAGTGGTGAGGGAACAGCGGGACAGTGGTGGGGACAGTGGGACAGTGGGACAGTAGAGGGCCGGTAGTGGTGGGGACAGTGGTGGGGGCAATGGTGGGAACAAGGGGGACAGTGGACAGTGGTGGGGACGGTGGTGGTGGGGACAGTGGTGTGGGCACAGTGGGAATGAGGTGGAAACAGTGGGACAGTGGAGGGTACAATGGTGGTGGGGACAGTGGTGAAGGCGGTGGCGAGGACGGCGGTGGGACAATGGGACAGAGGTACAGTGGGGACAGTGGTGGGGACAGTGGGGACAGTGGTGGGAACAGTGGGACAGCTCAGTGGGACAGCGGCGGAGTCAGTGGGACAGTGGGGACAGTGGGGATAGTCGGGCAGTGGTTGGGGCCGTGGAGACAGTGGGGAGAGTGGAACCGTGGTGGGAACAGTGGTGGGGACAGTGGGGACAGTGCGACAGTGGTGGGGGCACTGGTGGGGACACAGTGGGGACAGTGGTGGTGAGGACAGTGGTGCTGGGAACAACAGTGGGGGATGTGATGCGGACGGTGGTAGGGACCGGGAGTCGTTTGCTGGCGGTGAGTGGAAGGGGTGGGGAGGGGTTCGAGCCGGTAGTGATCCCCCTCCGGTTTTCGATGGGGGGGGGGGTCGAACCGGTAAGGACCCCCCCCCCGGTTTTCCGGATCCGGAGGGGGGGGGGGAGGGGTTCGAACCGGTAGTGACCCCCCCCGGTTTTCGAGGGGGAGGGGGGGGGGGAGGGGTTAGGGGAGGGGGGGGTGTTGCCGGGGGAGGAGGGGGGGGGGGGGTCCAGCGGGGGGGGGGGGGGGGATTTTCGGAGGGGGGGGGGGGCGACCCCCCTGCTCCGGAGGAAAAGCTTGGCAATTTTCCACAGTAAAGCGGCGGTGGATCACTCTCTCTCAAATCATGGGAGCCTTGTGTACCTTCGTAATTCTGTCGCTAGCGTAGACGAATTAGCGTCGACTAGCGTCTAGGAGTCGATGAGATAGTGCCGATTTAGCGTCGATTAGCGTCGATTTAGCGTCGACCAGCGTCGATTTAGCGTGGGTGTGGAAAGAACGGGTACAATACCCAACAGCAGATCCTGTTCGTTTTGAACAGGACTCGTTGTCCGCACCGCCGCGGGCGTTGTTCTCTGAAGACCAGAAAGCCGCCTGCCCAACAGCGGCCGCCGTGTGTTTTAGGCAGCTTCTGTTGTTCGGCATTGCACCCATCTTTTCCGTATCCACTTCGGGCGTCCCAATCGGAGGCCTGGACCACTCCACCCAAAGCCAGGTGTTCGCCCCGGGAGTTTTGTTTTTTGACGGTCCTGCGGGCCTGGCGAGGGCCCCTGGAGGCCGAAGACGGCCAATAAAACGGGCCGCTCCCATGCTTCTTGGAGCCTGGCATCTCCGGCTCTTGACGTTTCCGCGCCGTGGGCTCCGGGGGCCTCAGGCCGCATTCCCGGGGTCTGTGGCCTTTGGCCGCGGGCCGTGCTTCTGTATGACGGCCTCCTTCCCGAGAGCGACCCCGTAGAGTCCGCGATATCGACCACGCGCGCGCTGCTCTGGCCAACGGGGACAGCAGCACGAACAGCGTGAGGCGTGATGGGCTCGGGGGGGGACTGCATCGACCCCAGACCCTTTCTCCGCGGACGACTCGTGTGCACCGTACCGCGCCGGCGCTGCTCGTGGCGTCGTCGATTCTCTCGACCCAGGAATGGTACGGTGCATCGTTCTCCGACCCCCCAAGAACCGAACAATTTACGCATTGGAGCGGGGTCTGAACGGAGTCCAGACACGGTGCGGTGCATGGGTGCAGTTCGCGTACTTGAGAAAATCATGACGGGAGGTGTTCCGCTATTTTCGGCCTTCCAGGTGCCTTCTCCAGGTCTCGGGGCCGTCAGAACAAATTCAGGGTAAAACGCCGGTCCTGGGGAGGGAGTCCAGAGCCTTTGGGGGTCGACGTGGTTAAAACAAGCACGAGGTCGGGGGATCGGGGGTGACTCAGGGTGCGAATGCAAGCTCAGTGGTCAAGTCCAAACAGATGCTTGCGTGCACATGGTGTTGTTGCAGGTGCCCCTTGTGTGCTCGTCCATGGCCGTTGGGCTTAGGGGCATCCTTAGATTGTTGCACATGTCTTCCTTGTTGCGGAGCAAAGTCTGTCTTCTCCCTGGGTGGTGCCTTGCTTGTCAGATTTAATCCCAAAGTTGGTATTGGAGCCTCTGGCGTATCCAGGAGCCTCCAGCTGAGACATGGCGGGCGACGTTGGAGACGAGAATGCGTCAGCAACAAGGGAGATTCGCATGACGAGGTTGACGTTGCGGCCTCAGGGGAAGCTCAGCGACCAGTTATATACACATATCCATAGAGAGAGGGAGGGAGAGACAAAACAAGGAAGAGAGAGAGAGAGAGAGAGATAGAGAGAGACAGCAACAGAACAGAAGAAGCCAATCTGGCCCAGGCCCCCCCCCCCCTCTGGGCCCTCCACGCGGGGCGGGGCGGCCCCGGATGGCCCCGCGCGCCTGAGGCGAGGCGTGGCCAGCGCCCCCCCTCCCCCGAGGAGACTCGGCCGGCGCCGGCTGCCAGCGTTGGGGGGAGGGGCACCCCGTTCGGCATGAGGGGTGGGGGCCAAGAGTCGAGTGACCAAGCACAGATCCCAGTCCTCCTCGCGCTGCGACGAAAATCACGACGGGAGGTTCTCACCATGTTCGACCTCCAGGGACCCTTCTCGGGCTCGTCAAGAAACGACTCAGGATGACGAAGGGTCCAGACCTCTGGGGGTCGACGTTGTGAAAAGATCACGACGTCGGGGGTCTGGGGGAGTGGGGAAGCTTCTTAAAAAAAAAAACGATTCTTCGAAGGCGCGGACCTTTTCTAGGCCCGCGCCTTCTAAGAAGCGGCCTCCTTCGAAGGAGACTTCCCCCCTCCCCCTACCCCCTGTGCGCGCCGCCACATCAAGGATCAGCAAATTGCATCAACTCGCCGGAGAAGAAGGAGCCACCACCGCTTCTCCCCCCGAGATGTGGTGGCACCCCGTTCCAGGCGCGCCCCCAGTGGGTGCCCCGAATGGAGTGCCACCAGCTCGGGAGGGCCTCCGGGAATTGGAGTTCTGGTGGTGGTGACGCCTTTTGTCCTCATCATTGGCATAAGCTCTCGGAGATCCGCTCGGATGCCTTGGATCGGCGGTGGGCCCCCGTCACACGGGGCGGCGCCGGGGACGCCGCCGGCTTGCTCCAGCGCCGCTCCGAGAAATCCGCTCGGACCTCCGACGTATGCTTATGTCAGTCTTGTTCCTCGAAGGAAGGACGTTCTCATTGGTTCTCTGACGCGGTTGGCAGTTGTCTGGCCTCGGGATGGCTTCCTGCAGTTGTGCCTATAGGCGAGAGTTTTCCAGGGGGCCCGAGCCGTTCCGAACGGCCGCCAGAGACTAGAGGTGGGCATGTCGCCCGAAGACAACAGACGACGCGCCCCAGGGGCAACGGGTGCTGGAAGTTTTTCGCGTTCTCGAGTGGTGGAGGAGGAGGAGGAGGAGGAGGAGGAGGAGGAGGAGGAAGAGGAGGAGGAGGAGGAGGAGGAGGAGGAGGAGGAGGAGGAGGAGGAAGAGGAGGAGGAGGAGGAGGAGGGGGGGGAGGGGAGGGGGAGGGGAGGAGGGGGAGGAGGAGGAGGAGGAGGAGGAGGAGGCCACGGGCCCCAGGGCCATCAAACAACTGCTCGGGACGAAGGCCCAGTCCGTGGGGTAGGGGCTCCAAGGTCCAGCACCCGTCTCCCTCGGGGCGCCCGCCTTTTTTTCTGGCGATCGCTGTGGGCAGTCGCCCGCGAGGAGTGGGGCGGACCGAGGAGGCGGAGGAGCGGAGGCTTCTTGGGACGGACGAGGAGGAGCGGAGGACGAGGACTTGGCGATGGTTGTTGGGGCCGAGGAGCGGAGCCGCGCAGGGCCCGTGCCACCCAGCGGGGCGCAGAGACAGCCGTGCATCGCGCGCCTCGCGGCCTGTGGCCGAGCGGGCGGCCCCTCTCCAGGGTGGCCTCGCGTGGGTGCGGAGGCGAGCGCGCGCCGCGCATCGCGGGGCGCGAGGCGGAAAGTGAGGTGCCCAGACGGCCGTGTGTGTGTGTGTATGTGTGTGTAGGTGTGTGCGTGTCTGTTTGTGTATGCTCCGTGTCCTAAGTTGGGTCCTTCAGTGTTCCTGGGGCACCCTGTGTCGCCTCCTTCCGTCCTCCCCTACAGTCAACCCGCACAGCAAGGAGGGGCAACCTTCCGGAGGGCATCCCTGCATCCTTCCCCTGCGGCCCACCCTTGGCCGCTTTCGCTGGCCGCGCCCCGCTCGCAGAGCCTTCCAAGACCCTCTGCATCCCTCGGGCCGAACGAAAGGGAGGGATAGGGAAAGGGGGGGGGGTACGAAATCTGCTGCATGCAGCTGGTTTCAGCCCCTCCGAGGGGCCCATCCCTCGATACATGGCCGCCTCCGGCGCCGGGAGGCGCCAGGAAAGTCAGACACGTGAGCTGATTCTCAACCCCCCCCTTTGCTATCTCCCCCATTTCGCCCGGCCCGAATCCCTATCGCGTGTCCTTGTTCCACGGCTTGATAGTACCCTCTGCATCCCTGTCGCGTGTCCTTGTTCCAGGGAGGAGGGAGGAGGGAGAGGGGAGGGGGGAGGAGGGAGGAGGGAGGAGGGAGGAGGGAGGAGGGAGGAGAGAGGAGGGAGGAGGGAGGAGGGAGGATGGAGGAGGGAGGGGGGTGGAGGGACCTTCCTCCTTGCCAGGCTCCCCGCAGCGGGGCAGCGGGGTGCGGTGCCCTGCCCGCCCCACGAGTACCACCGGTGCCGCCGCACCCCGCCAGGCATGGAGGGGCCCCATGACACACAAAGAAATACACACAAATGAGAAGATTTCCCACATTTTCGAATATTTCCTGGGTTTTTGTCTTCCCCCCACTTCCCATATTTTCGCGCATTTTCTGGGAAATCGACGGTTCATTGTGTCTGTTTTTTTTTTTCCTCCTGAAGGCAAACGGCACCAAGCCTCGGCAGGCATCGCCAGACCGTGGTACAGTCGAGACTGATTAGCAGGTCGACCTTGCCAAATCGAGGGTGCCCTCGTGTCTTGAGCTTCGCGACCCATGCCTTCTTGCGTTCCTATGGCGATGTGGCCTCGGAAGTCTCTCGAGTCCTCTCGCGTGTCCTCCCCGATCAGCCCCGACTGCAGAGGCATCAGGCCTCGTGTCGATCCCGAGGCCCGCCGCTGCTGTCTGGCCCTCTGGGGAGCCCCCCCCCGGCCCTCGGGTCTCGTGCTCTGACCACTCCACCAGTTCCACCAGCGCCGTCTCACCATGCGGGAGGGTCCCGCCACTCTGCGGCTGGCACTCCCGAACCGTGTCGTGTATCGCGTCGTCTGCTTTGCCCACTCCACCTGTTCCACCAGCGCAGCCTCAGCCTCCAGGCAGGCCCCGCCACTCCGCGGCAGACGCTTCCAAACAATCCTATGCATCAGGCTCCTCGCCCTCCCCACCCCACCAGTCGCACCAGTGCTGGCTTACCCTCCAGAGAGGCCCCGCCTGACCGCGGCAGGCACTCCCAAATTGCGTCATGTATCAGGTGGCGTGCCCGCCGTACTCCACCAGGCCCACCAGTGCCGTCTCGCCCCCCCAGGGAGGCCGCGCCACGCCACGGCAGGCATCGCCAGGCAGGGATATTCCTCAGGTCTTTTGCCTTGCCCACCCCACCAGGCCCGCCTCTGATGTCTGACCCTCGAGGGGGGACCCGTCAGACTGCGGCACGTGTCGTCGACTTGTTCCCTTCCCCCGTCTCCTCCGAGGCGCTGCGCTGCAGCAGCCGAGCGAACACCCAGCTCGTCCAGACGTTGACCAGAGGAATCTCGGCCACGTTTGCAGGACAAGTCTGTCCAGCCCCCGCCAGCGGATGCTATTTAATGGCAGCATGCCCTCCCCTCGCTTTTTTTGTTGAGTTCCTTTTTTTTTCTCATGCCATCTTTCAGGTCCCTTCCAACCAGTATATGGTGGTGGGTCTTCGTTTTGAATCAGCGGCGCCCCGTGCCTCCTCCTGACCTTCTTTCCTCCTCCTCCTCCTCCTCCTCCTCCTCCTCCCTCTGCTTTTCGCATGTCCATGTCGGCACACCGCTCACACGCTACGTAACCCCAAGGGGAGCTCGACCGAAGGCCCTAGTGACAGGGCCCGCATGCGTCCCCATACCCATTTCGGCACACTCCTCATACGTTTCGTGGCCCCATGTGGAGCTCCACCGAAGGCCCCAGCGGCAGGGCGCGCATGCGTCCCCAGACCCATTTCGGCACACCCCATCCCATGGTACGTGGCCCCATGTGGAGCTCCACTGAAGGCCCCAGCGGCAGGGCCCGCATGCGTCCCCAAACGCATTTCTACAAACACCATCCAATGGTACGTGGCCCCATGGGGAGCTCCACCGAAGGCCCTAGTGGCTGGGCCCGCATGCGTCCCTGGGTAAGGTTCGGCACATCCCTTGAACGCTTCGTGGCCCCATAGGCGGCTCGACCGAAGGCCCCAGCGGCAGGGCCCGCATGCGTCCCCGAGCCCTTCTGGCACACCCCTCACACGGTTCGTGGCCCCATAGGGAGTTCCCCCATTTTACAATGCAAACGTAGCCACTGAACATTCATGCAGATCCGTGGAACAGTTCGCAAGCGTCGCGTTCATCGTCGTCTGGCTAGTTTGGCGTGTGTTTCTGCCAACACGTGGGATTGCTCATGTGCGCGGGCATTTCGTCATCGTGGTGTGTCGCGCGCCTCTGACGCATGCAGACTATCGTCCGGCACGCCGGCTGGCAATTCGCGCACGAACGCACCTCGACATGACACAGGGCGCATCTTGTTGCGGACCCTGGTCTCGCCCAAGTGCTTTATAAGCCGTGCTCACAGACAGGGCATACACTTATGCCTCCGACGTGTGCGCGGAGTTCCAGCTTCACTTTGTGAGTTGTTCACTGGTGAGTGGCGAAGCTCTGCGCGGTGCAAAAAACACTCGGGGCAATTTGGGCATTGGAAAGCAGTGCGGTTTTCACAAGTGAGACAGCTTACCCATCACCCATCATTGGTCCCGCCTGCCTTGCTGTACTCACACGTGCACATGGTTGGGTTCATCGCCCGGCTTTTGTTAGGTGTTAAGCCAGTATGGATTTTCCGGCTTATCTACAAGCACGGGAGAAGTATGTTTGTTTAAAGCGAGTTCGTAACATGTGCTATCTTCTCTGTGGTTCTCTCTCCCTTCCTCTCTCTCTTTCTCTCTCTCTCCCCATGTGTGTATGTATATATATATGTATGTATGTGTGTATGTGGATCGCCCTCTTTCCTCGGTGCCCAGTGTCGTTATGTTGGTCGCAGTGGTTCGCCGTTGTGTCTCGTCCCAGCTTGGTGCGATGTGCCTCCGACTAGCATTCTAATTACCCGCGTTTCTGCCCCGACTCACCCGCCTGCCTTATGCAGGCAGTTTCTATTGAGCACCGCTTGGGAGGCCACATTGCTGGGTTGTCCGATACCCTCTCCTCGTCAGATCGTTCAACAAGGCACCGGCGCAGCAACGTGCCGAAAGTTGAGCGCATGGCAGCACCAATGCGGGCCAGGCAGAAGAGAAAGGCGACACAAGAGTGGCGAGCGATGAGGGAACTTGGAGCCGCAAGGAGGGGCGAGGAAGGACGCAGGGAGACATGGGAGGAGGAGGAGGAGGCGGAGGGGAGCAGGAGGGGAGGCAGCGTGAAGTGGAAGCAGGTGGGAAGCAGCAGAGATCTGCCCAAGCTGCGAGCCCGACACGGCAGGACCCTTGCCATGAGGGCAGCGGGTCCTGTCGGATACGGTCGGTCACCGCGCCGTCCTGAGGCCCCCGGGGTCGAGGAGCGACCCAGGAGGAACGCTTTGGCCGGAGGGGAAAGCCCCCTCTGCGCCCAGGGCGCGGCTCCCCCCTGGACCTCGCATCCTCCGCCATCTCGGGGGGCAGATTGGCCGGTGGGGCCCAGGCCACGCCAGTAGGCATAGACTTATGTCGGGCGTGTCCCCCTACAGGGGGATTTTCGACGAAAAATGCAAAATACATCAAACATGCACGAGAAAGGTCAAAAAATTCTAAAGAAATAGTGCCCAGACTATTTTTGGAGTTGTTTTTTGATTATTTTCGGGGTATTTCTTATTTTTCGTCGAAAATCCCCCTGTAGGGGGACAGGCCCGATTTAAGCATAGACGGAGGATTCGCGTCGTGTCGTTCAGCGGCCACCCCGCCGCCGGCGACCCCGCCTCCGGTGTTCACGTGGAGCGCCGCCGGCGGCCCAGAGCCAGTCGATGTCGAACGATGTGACGTTTTTCCGACACGGCCGATCGTTCCAGAGATTGAGCGATGCCCGCGGTGTCAGAGGCCAACGCCGAAGTTGGTACAGTGCCGTTGTTGATGCATGCTCCGCGTGCGGATCGTGTATGAAACATGCAGGGATTCCGTATTCGAAACAACGAACAGTTCAGGCGTAGATTGATTCATAAATTGATCATGCATTAAAATCATATATATATATATGTGTTTAAACATCCCATGTATTTAAAACTGCCCTGTATTGCGAGAGCCTGCTGTGCGCCAGCAGCTGCGCCCCGACGGCGCAGGAGCAGCATGGGGCGAGAGAGTTGCACGGGAGCCTGCGTTCGCGTGCGGGGCCTCGGGGGCTTACTGTTAGGTCGGGCATGTCCTCCGACAGGCGGATTTTTTGAAGGGAAACTGATAAGTAGTCAAGCAAAAATGCTCGAAGAATCGTCCCCAGACGCCCGACTCAAACTTACTACCGTTGTGCCCTTTGTTCCAACGAGGTGCGAGGGCTAGCTGCGCGGCGAGTCAGGTTCCCGGGCGAACGGAGGGGGGTGGCGAGGAGGAGGGCAGAGCTCGACCTAGAGGATGTGTTAGCGGTTTCTTGGGCCGTTTTCGTCTCAATGGCGTTTTTTGCAGCACGTCCAGGTGGGAGACACCACAGTGGAAAACGAAAACAGCACAAGCACAAAAAGACATTGTTTTGGTCGAGGCCTGGAAGAGGCAGGGAGGCGAGGTGCTCGCTCCCTTGACCTCCCGGATGGGGTCCGAGCAGATGGGGTCGGAGGATCGCGCCGCAGCGACGCTGCATCGGCGATGCGGCTCGATGAGGGAGCCCGATTCGCTCCGCGCGGGTGTCGCCGATGCGCCGCCGATGCCCTCGTGGCAGACTCCGTCAGCAGCCCGGGACCGCCGCCGCCGCCGTCGAGCCGACGCCTGCCCCCCGCGGCCGCCCCGCTGGCGAGGAGGCCGCCCCCGCCCGGCAGCAGCCGCCCGCGTTGCGGCGGCGGCCCACGCCCTGCGGCAGAGCCCTGCTCGGTCGGGAGCCGAGTTTTGGGTTCTCTCTCTCTTTCGTCGGCGGCGAGCGAGGGGTAGGGGGCCACATGCGAACCCTACCCCTGACCCCCCACGAGTTCTGAGGGGGAGGGTGGGGTTCACTTCGTCTGGGAGCTCCCGAGCGAAGTGAACCCCACCCTCTCCCTCAGAAATCGTGGGGGGTAGGGGTAGGGTTCGCGTGTGGCCCCCTAAGGGGGTCGAGAACGAGCAACAGCGCCAGAGACATAAACTTTTTTGGCGCTCCGCGCGGCTCTCTTGCATCCGCTCTGTGGCCCCCTCGCGGAGCGCCGAGAGTGGATGTGGATGGCGTTCGTTCTCTTCCTGGGAGGGGGAGCCCTGAGATCCTGGCATGGTACCTGCTTCGCTAACAGGCGTTGTCGCTCCCTTTCGGGCCCAGGGGCCCCCGCAGGCCGATCCGGCTCGAGGCGTGGCGCAGAAAGTTGCTTGGGCTCTCTCTCTCTCTCTCGGCGGCGAGCGAGGGCTCCTCTCGAAGGGGGGAAAGCTTCGGGCTCGAGGTTCGAGGTTTCGGACGTTTTCGTCCGTTCTCGGTGGTCTTCCAGCCTCGGGATGCTTGCCAGCAGCTGCGCCTCGCCGAGGGTGTTCCAGGGTTGCCCGGATCGTCCCGAGCGCCCGCTGGAGACCCAGGATTTGACGCAGAAGTCACATTCTGCGGCGAGCGAGATGGGAAGTGAGAAGGAGAAGGCTTTCTCAGAAGGCGGCGGGGCTTCTCAGGAGGCCTCCAGCGTTCTGAGAGGTTCTCTGTGTTTTCGGGGAAGGCTTAGAGATTGTTGCCCTGGGGACCTCCGATCCAAGAAATCCGCGCGGAGTTTCGAAAATGAATGCTTATGAAGCGTCTGCTTCTTCAGTGTTCTTACAGGAGCAAAAGGTACCGATACCGTTGCTCGTGCTGGAGAGCCCTCCTCGCCACGGCTGGATTCTCGACGAAATTCTGGTCCGAATGCACGTTGGGAGAGGTCCAGGGAGTAGCGGTATCGGTACCTGTTTGTTCCCCCAGAGCAGGCCCCCGACGTCGTGAAAAAACAGCGTCGACCCCCAGAGGTTTGGACCCTTCCCCAGGAGCGGCTTTTCGTCCCGGGCGGGGCGTGTTGTGACGGCCCTGGGGCCCTGCAAGGGCCCCCAGAGGCCGAGAGTAGCCAAACAGCTCTAGTCGCCTCCTCCTCTTCCTCTTCTCCTCCTCCTCCTCCTCCTCCTCCTCCTCCTCCTCCCTCTCCTCCTCCCTCCTCCTCCTCCTCTTCTCTCCTCCTCTCCCTCCTCCTCCTCCCTCCTCCTCCTCCTCCTCTACCTCCTCCTCCTCCTCCTCCTCCTCCTCTCCTCCTCCTCTCTCCTCCTCCTCCTCCTCCTCCTCCTTCTCTCCTCCTCCTCCTCCTCCTCCTTCTCCTCCTCCTCCTCCTCCTCCTCCTCCTCCTGGTTGGGTGGCGCCACCTGGCCTCACCACCGATCGTGGCTGGGCCCATCCTGGGCCCGGGGCCGGTGCGCGCGCCAGCCTGTCGGAGGTGGACAGACCGGTCTTGGGGAAGGGGTGCAGACCTCTGGGGGGTCCACGCCAGGAATAAGCATCGTGACGTTGGGGTCTGGGAGCGGCAGTCGGGTGTGGGCAGACCTCCTACCCTGACGCGTCGATTAAGGAATTGGCCGTGTTCGGTTCGCGAGGGGGCGTCGCGGCCGTCATTTTAGCCGGTCCAGGTCCTTCGATGTCGGCCCCAGGTCGTTTTTATTGAGGGGAGGTCTACTAAAGGGAGCTTTGTGCACCGCCGAACCTGGCCTGGCCGAAGCAGCGCAGAGCGGGGAAGCGTGAGACTCGAGTGCGCCGAAGCTCGGGCCTGCCGGCGCACTTGGACGAGCGCGCCCTGGAGTCTGACGGTCCAGTGTTCGCGGTGTCTCTGCAGCGGGAGTTCACGCCAAGTTTCAGACTGGGCCGTCAGGCCTCAAGGGAGGAAAACTCACCTCGACCCCATAATTGGCGTTTGCTGAGCGGCCCTGGGCGCGGGCGTTTACTGAACCGCCTTGCCGTGGTCGTTTCCTCCTTTGGAGACTGTTTTTTAGGGTCCCGCGATAAAGCGGGTTACTTGGCTTGCCCCCCCTCCCCCCACCCCCAGGATAACCTAACCTTGCTGATTGTGCAGGTCTGGGGTGGGGGGGCGCGGGCATATGCAGGGCTGCCCACAGCGCGAAGGTTTGGTTATCGGCCGGCCCCTTCCTCCCCCACCCCCGGGATAACCCAGGTTATCGCCGATTCCACAAAAAATTGTCTTTTGGGCGTGTTGACTGGATTGCTTCGCGTGCCGGGGTGATCCTTCTGAGGGTGCATGTTCTGCTCTCGAAGGCCAGCCCGTGCCCTCCGCACCCGAGTCTGAGTTAGGCCTCCCTGGGCACAGCGCCAAGTCTTGGGGCCGGGGTGCCTAGCGGGCCAGGGCCGGCGAGGTGGTGCGCTGGCGCCGCCCGGTGTGTATGCTCTGTGTGCGTGGCCGGGCGCCGCGTGGGGGGGGGGGGGCCGTCGGGGCTCAAGAGGCGGGGGCCAATGCAAACGGTAAGTCGGGCATGTCCCTCCACAGGAGGCAGATTCAAACGACAAAACTCGTGATGGGGGGCGATGTTTCAAGTAATCCTCAGTACTTTTGTAGATTCTTGGATTCTTTTGAATTTTCCTTCCATAGCCCGCCTGCAGGAGGGCATGCCCGACCTACTGCGAACGGGGGTAACCCGCCTTAACCTTCCAGGAGGGCTGAAAAATAGCACCAGGTCACCAGGACCTCGACATCTAAGTTCCTGTCGAGGTTTTACAGGGTAGGTCTTTAGGTGTGGAGAGTATTTTTAGCACGCTGGAAGGTCAGGGCAACCCGCCGCATCTTTCAGGGTCCTGCAGGACATTGCAGGATCCAGCGCAAAGCCCGACTGACCTGGGTCTGGATTGACCCGGGTCAGTAGATCCCCGAGGGCGACCGGGGGCGAACAGTCCGGCCGCTTTCTCTCCTGAGTTGCACGCTCTGGCGGCAGCAGATCTAGAACAGCAGTATCAAACAGCAACGAGGGCAGGGTATTTCGGACGGGGCTAGGACGAGGATCAATCCGTTCCAGAGCGTTCTGGAACGCTCTCAGGGCGATCCAAGACGCTCTGAGAAGGCCGCGACGCACGATACATCATCCAGAGCCGCCATTGAGCCTCGTCCTCCTGGTTTCGTCTCCGTATCGTCCTGCACCTGCGGGAGGCCATACGGTGGATCCGTCAGGCCATGGAGACCATGCGGGGAGTCCGCACGGAAAGACCGTACGGGGAGACCATATATGATCCAGGGTCGAGGGTTCACGGCCCCCCCCCCAGATGGTATGGTCCCAGGATTCCTCGGGCCCCCCCCCCCCAGATAGTATGGTCCCAGAGACGACGACGACGACGACGACGACGACGCCGACGACGACGACGACGATGACGACGACGACGGACGGCGACGACTACGACGACGGCGACGACGACGACGCCCACGACGACGACGACGACGGCTGCGGCGGCGACGACGCCGGCGACGGCGGCGGCGACGACGACGATGACGACGATGACAACGGCGACGACGACGATGACGACGACGACGACGACGACGACGACGACGACGACGACGACGACGAGGACGACGAGGACGACGACGACGACGACGACGACCTCTGAACCACCACAGCACCACACCACATCCACGGGGGGGGGAGGGGGGCACCGCAGCGCAGCACCACGCCACGCCCACTTCTGAACCACCACAGCACCACACCACATCCACAGGGGGGAGGGGGGGGGCACCGCAGCGCAGCACCACGCAACGCCCACAGGGGGGGCCGGGGGGGACCATCGCGCGGGGGGGGGGGGCCCAATGGCATCAGCATTGGGGGGGGGGGGCCCAAGCCCTGGACCATATATTTGAGACCATGAGGTCTTTGATTCCAGGGCCCAGGGCGGCCTCCACCTGGAGCCATGCGGGAGTTCATATGGGAGACCATCTAGGCATCCCAGATGGGGTCGGAGTAGATGGGGCCGGAGGATCGCGCCGCATAGCCGATGCATCGCCGATGCGCTTCGATGCGGAGCTCGATTTTTTCCACGCCGACGTCGCCGATGCATCGCCGAGGTCGCCAGTGCATCGCCAATGCGTCGGCGATACATCGCCGATGCATCGCCGATGTATCGCCGATGCGGCGCGATTCTCCGACCCCATCTACGCCAACCCCATCTGGGAGGCCTCTATCTTGGTAAGAAGCCGTCGAGGCAGCATTGGCGTCTGGGGGCCGTTTTCGGTCCCCGCGAGGCCATCCCAAATCCTATGAAAAGACACATGCCCCCGCGTCGTGCTCGGGGGAGGGATTGGAGGAAAGCGAGCAGGGGGAGGGATCGGCGACGAGCGAGGGAGGGGGGAGGGATCGGCGACGAGCGAGGGAGGGGGACGTGAGAAGGGACGGGCCTTCTCAGAAGGCTCGGGAGTCCCCAAGCCTGCTGAGAAGTTGCCTAAGCCTCCCCCGAGAGCACGGCGCAAGGGCTTCTGAGAAGTCCCGTCGCCTTCTGAGAACTCCCTCGCTCGCCGCCAAAGGGAGGGAGGGAGGTCAGAGCAGGGCATGGTGCCGATGCCGCTGCCCTTCTCTTGTTGCCACGGCCGGACGGGCCTGGGCATCCTGGTCAGGGCGCACCCTTCGGGAGAGGTTGGGAGCGACGGTATTTTTTGTGTGCATGTTCGCCCCCCCCCCCCCAAGGAGAAAGAAGGAGAGATATTGGCAAGGAACCGATATCAACAAACGGTATTCCAATTCGTACATACCATAAGTTCAGATTCGTACATACACATTGAGTTGCATACGTATACGGCCAGGCATCGCCATCGATAGTTGATTACACATTGCTTGGCGCAGTGATGTGGAGTTCGGGCGAACTACTCCGCTCAGGGGGGAGAGGACAGGCATACAATATATGCAGGAAGTGGAGGCGAGAAAACGGACGGCCGCGGGGTGTCCTCGGAGCAAAATGGCGGCAGGGCCGGAGTCCAGGGTCCCCTGGATTCCAGACTCTTTGCGTCATCGGCCTACCCAGTGCTCATTGTTCCCGTCATCTCTCTGGGGGGCCACATGCGAACCCTACCCCTACCCCCCACGATTTCTGAAGGGGAGGGTGGGGTTCACTCCGTTCGGGAGCTCCCGAGCGGAGTGAACCCCACCGCGCCAGGGAGGAAACCGCGCCTGTCCATGGGATGCCGTCGGTGCTGCAAACGGGGGAGGCGGGAGTGTGATTAGGGGAACAAGAAGTGACATAAACATGAAACTTGGGAGGTCCGCGCGGATTTCTCGGATCGGCGCTGGACCCCCCTCCCCGGCGCGCGCAGCGCGTCGGGGCGGCGCCAGAGGCGCCGCCGGGGGGCCCCAGCGCCGATCCAAGAAATTCGCGCGGACCTCCGAGTTTTTATGTTTATGTTACTTTTTGTTCCCCTAGTGGTGCATAGACTTCCGCGAGGCAGGGGGATGGCGGAGGATGGGATGAAGTGCGAAGCAGGGGGAGGCAGGTTCGCACGGCTTTTGTCGTCACCTGTTTGAGGGTTGGCCACGTGGATCACTTGTCAGCTTTTGGGGGCGGGTGCCGACTGCTGCAGCATTTTCGGAGCCATCGTCAGTGTGTCTGTCGCGCTTCTGGCTCTCAAAACCGCCATCGTGAGGCGACGTGGAGTCCCAGCGCCCCTCGATGCATCTGAAGTAGAGGCCATCTGCTCTGGATTTTGCCTTTCTTCCTTGGTTCTGGTCTCTGTCTCCGTCTCTCACTTTCTCTCTCTCTCTCTCTCTCTCTCTCTCCGGGGGGGTGGACCGCCACCACCACCTGGACGAGTGTCACGGGTAGGGTCATGTTCGGGTGGATTCTATGTTTTCTGGGGCGTTTTGGCTCGGGGCACGTCTACATCTCCCAAGGCGGCAGGTTCTGCGCAGAATAACCACTCGGCTGTGATGATAAGCGTTCCAGATGTTTTTCGAGTTGAAGTTCACACCATGGTTGGTGCTTCCCTCCGCCCAACTCCAATAATCGTTCAGTCGCCCAGTGTCTTCCTTCGGCCCCGTAGCAGGGACCTCACTCCCTCTCAATATTGATGGGCCGATTGGATTGTCGAATTTGCAGATTCGTCCGTCTTGCTTTCTCCCATACCTCGACGATGACGCTACAGATAGTGCACAGGATGATTAAGTATCGTGGTAGTGCCGGTTGTTTGGATGGCACGATATGAGTGACTATGTGATGCGTATGGCGTTGTTGATGACGATGACGGTTATGCATCTTTCAATATTTGCATTTTACATCCAATAGTTGTTCTTCTCGCGACTAGCCCTTTTGTCTCTGTGAGCTTGTGGTTCTAGCCGGTGATTCCCCAGTTCATATGATCGATGCCCACAGCGATGTTCAAGCAGTGGCGAAGCGTTCTGGCTCGCCTATGGTCCGACCAAATAATGATCTAAGGGCTTGTTGTGGCTTCAACGAAATATTCTTAGAACATTTCCGGCTGGGATAATATTTGTTTTGCACAACGGGTCTATGTTCTAAGACAATGGTTTGGTCTTTGAACAGTTTGGATTGTATGAACATGTCGTAGCAGGCATACAGGAATGCCGGGGCGGTCGGTCCCTGCCCAAAATGTGCCCCCACGCGGGTTGACTTGCAGCATGGCTCCGCCGTCGCGTCGCCCGACCGGGCGCCCTCCTCGGCGTCGCGAGGCAGCGAGCGGTTGCGCGCTCTGTGGCAGCTCGGCCCGCGCGGCTGGCATTACCTCGTGCGCTCTCGACTGCGCTCTGCCCCCGGGGCCGCAGAGCAGCGGCCGCGGTGTCCGAGCTCTCGCCGCGGGAGGCCTGGATCTCTCGAGGAGTAAGAGACTCTAGGCCTCCTGCGTCCTCAACGAGTTTCGCCAGGCGGCCTACGTCTCGGCGCGGCTTACCGGCATGGCGCGCGAGTGCGTGGGCGAGTGGCCGCCAGCTATCCTGATCCAGGTTTGCTTCATCAGCGGCAACCCAGTGCCACCGATGACCTTAACTACGCACAGTTTGACCGAACGATGGTGCCAGCCGGGCGACGAAGAGCGCAGCTCGGCTGTATCGGCCGTGAAGAGCTTCAACTGACTGCCGCAGGAGCGCATCGGCAACCTTCTAACGAGGTTCGACCTCCCCCCCAACTGGGCGCAGCAAGCTGGTCAACCCATGATCGGCTACGAAGGACTCAGCTTCCTCCTGCTGCGCGCCGCTGGCGTGTTGAACGCCCAAATCACCATGCTCCTACAGCGCTCCAACAAGGCCTACTCCACGAACGCTCAGCAACTCACCCATATTATGGGCCAGTTGAGACGCTTTGGGCACACGATAGAGGGATCGCCAGGCAACCTCGCCTCGGCGGCCCACTCTGCCCAACAGCAGACGTTCCTCGCGGGGACGGTATGGGTCCGGCTGCACTGGAATGGGCACCAAGACCCCCTGCACCAGCCGAGGCCGTATTTGAAGGCTGCGCCTCCCTAGCACGGCGCCGCCGGCACACGGGCCATACCCAGCAGCAGAGATCGATTCAGGCACCGACACCGACACCGCCAGCCCATTCGGCGAGGAGATAGTCGCCGACGACCCAGCATCGACGTCAGTATGGACAACAGCAGTACTGCCAACGTCGGAGCCCACCACGCCAACGCCAGCATGAACTACAGCGGTTGCCTCAGCATCGACGCCAACATCCTCACCAGTATCGAGGACAGCATGGACCCCAGCATCAGTGACAGCATCGACGCCAGCACCGACACGACCGCTTCTCCCAACATCGACGTGAACATCGACGCTGGGAACGACAACGGCACCGGCGCCAACACCGATTACACAATCGAATATACCATCGACTCCAGCAGCGGAACCAGACAGCGCCGATGCATCGGCGATGCGGCCCGATGTGGAGCCCGATAATACGGGAAACCGCGACGGGGCACAGGGAAAACGTACCAATCAAAAAAAAATGAGATTTGAGGGTTTGGGCCTCCAAGAAAGTCCTCCGGAATGGGGACTGAGACCGAGAGGATCAGGAAAAGGCGGTGAGGACACGTCCGCTCTGTTCCCAGAGGCGCGTATAATTACACAAATACTTGCAAATCGATTGTTTCAACTCGGTTGCATTGCTGCCGGCAGTCGGGTGGTATGGTGTTTTCAAACAGTTCCTCCTTGCTGTTCCTGTATAATATATCGTATACGGTTGCTGGCGAAGTGGCTCATTCATTCCACAATCAGGCATCGGTGGCCCTGCGGCGCGTTGAACATAGCGTTGCGACCGCCGGAGTGATGTGCGAGTTTGCCCGAGGTCATCTACCTGCCTTGTTGGCCCGCCGCTTTATACATGGGCGTGTGCGTGTATTGCTGCTACGTTGCTTGTAACGTGCTTGTTCTGTATTTGCCGCCACGTGTGCCTGTCATCCTCGTCGCCGCGTGCCATCATCATATTCGTTCGGCCTCTTCTTGCTCACATCGAAACCTCCGCTTGCATCCCTGGGCCGCCCACAGATGAAACATTCGGCCATCGAGGACGCATGTCACGGGGCGGCTTGAACGTTTCATACACCGACATGCCACCGCAGGGTAGGAAGATTTTCTTGCGCGCCCCCGATGGCGGAACAGTTTACAGTGGAGACCCATGCCGAAAAAAACACCCTGCGTGCCTCCAGAAGGGCCCTGGGTTTCTTGGTTTTCGATGGTGCTGCGATGGAGGGCGTGACGACCCCGCACCAAAAACCAATCTGGTGGACGTCCTGGGGTCTCAGGGTTGGGTTTCCTTTTGAAGGGGTTCTTGTGGTCGAGCTCCTGCTGCAGCTTCTGCCCCTCCTCCTCCGCCACTCCGCCCGCTCCCTGATGTCCCGTGGGGCGGGGCGACGCGCGCGGTCTTCTGCCGCCCGGGGAGGCTCGCCTGGCGACATGGGCCGCTCGCACTCGAGGCCGCGCTGCCTGCGCACGGTGCCAAGACTCGGGGCTCGGGGGGGGAGTCCTTCGCCTGCTGCTGGGGGTCAGCCTTTCGGGGGGTCAGAACATAGTAGGCTCAAGCTCGCTGATGGTCTTCATTCGGGGTCGTATCGTTTATCAAAGGCGATGCCTTCCTTGCTTTTGCCTGGGCAGTTCCTCTGGAAGCACTTGGCCAAAGCCAGTATTCTTCTCAGAGAAATCATGTCTCCTTAGTTTGCCCTGCGCTGACTCTGACCCCAGTGCGCTATCGGCGAGCCTTGATCGTCCAAGGCTGAGGTCGGTGTCGCCCCAACATGCTGATGCTACGTGTGCGTCGCCCCCCTAGGGGCGACGCGAGCACCGAGAAATCTTCTTGTACGTGCGTTGTGGCGGGCGCTTCCTGGCCACACCGCTCGGGACACGATATATTGCAAGATGGGTATTCTATATGTTCGAGTCGGACGCGCGCCTCCAAGGAGGACATCGGTCTCGAATGTCTTCGTGCGCCCCACGAATGATTCACGCGGTGTCAGAAACTAGCGCCTGGGTCGTCGCGACATGAGCCTGTCGATGCTTCCATCTCCAGTCGTGGACTATTGCGATCCGATCGGTCTGTCTCGAACTCGATTCCGGCAGGCCCGATCTGGTTCGATTACGACGTCCCGAGGGTTTGCAGCGTTCGGATGTGCGCGTGGCGTTGTTGTGAATCTTGTCGCGGCCGATTCGATTGTTTTTTTGAGTCTGTGCCGATGCATCCTAATTCGGCGCGCGTTCCGGTTTGATTCGATTTCTTGATCCTAATACGGCCGCCCGCAGGGAATTTCAGGCGGCCTTCAGCGCACCGTGGTCTGCACACCAAGGGTCTTTTGTGGAGGAGAAGCACGCCGTGGCGTTGACACATGTATTCGGTTCAGCCGTCCTTCTGAGAGCGGAAGGGGGGGGGAGAGAACGGAGAGCATCCGTGTCGGCATTTCTGTAGTTCTCCCCGGGGGCAGGATCGAGGAATGATGGAGGGCGGGGGAGGAGACTCGGCAGCCGCGCGTGGGGGCGGAGGTTGCGGATTTCGACGTCACCGGGGTGGAGGTGTTGTAGGCGAAGTGTGGCTGGGGCCGTCCAGGGTCCAGGGCTCGGAATGGCCTCCGGGGGAGGCACGGCCTCGAAGCGCACGGAGTGCCTCGCCGGAGTCAGTCTTGCGTCTCGGCATCGCTGGGACGCGTGCGTTCTTCGCGAAAAAGGAAGCGCACGAATCCGAATCAGGCAGGGCTGGACCTAAACGGTGTTTCGGGGATATCGTGGGCCGTTTTCGTTTCGACTTCGTTTTGCGGTAGAGGTGGATTGAAGACAAAACGAAGGAAAACGAAAACAAAACGGAAACGAAAAACACCGTTTAGGTTCAGACCTGGAATAAGGCAAACGGAATGAACGTCCGAGCGATGGCAAGAACCGCACAAAACATTCCGCATGCGTCGTTCTTGCGTTCAGCCGCTCACCGAGGATGAGGGTGCGAGGGACTAGGCCCAGAGATGAGTACGCAGGCGCTTGCACGCCAGTAGTCTGGCTTAGAGGACGCGTTGTTGTTTAACGCCAGCGTGCATTGGTTCTCAATGTTTGGCTAGCATGCGTTGCACTGTTTGCAAGATTGGAAGTTTGCCTCGCTATTCGGCCTTCTCTGTCTCTCCATCTGTGCTCGCCTGTATTGCCCCCTCGCGTTGATAATTACCCCGCACCGTCTTCTCGATACGCAAACGTTGCCGCTTGCCACACGTCTGCCCCAGGTGGTGGGCTTGCTTTCCACCGCCACCACCATAAGTACGAGGGGGAGGGGGCCCTCCTCTTCCTCCTCCTCCTCCTCCTCCTCCTCCTCCTCCTCCTCCTCCTCCTCCTCCTCCTCCTCCTCCTCCTCCTCCCCCCCCATCCTCCACCCCCTTCCCCCCTCCAGCACATGGTGGTGTTGGTGGTGGGAAATAGGCCCATCACCAGGACCTCCCCCTGGGCGGACAATGTGTGAAGTTTGGGTCGGTTGGCCGAACATTGTGAGAAATTTAACTCACGTGGGAACCAATATTGGGTCTCACGTGTAGTGGGTTATTTTTTGTCTGCCTTTCAAATTCTCAGGTCGGGGTCCGTAGCTGCAATATTACTGTCAAAAGACGTGGAGGAACCGTCGGCCGTCGGGATGCATTTTTCAATGAAAATGGCTGCGTGAACTCAACTCAAGCAGGAAGCAAGCTACACAGCTCTGATTTGCACCGATGGATTCAGCATGATGAGGAGCATCAATCTGCATCGGCGGGAGCGTGTGGTTCGAGGTATGCCAGGAGATATGCCCAGAACGTCGTAATACATGTGCGGCCCCTGCATCTGCTTTCGCAGCAGGAGCGCCCGCGAGAGCGCCCGCGAGCGCGCCCGCCATGCCAGGCATCGCGCGCCCCGGCCAAGGTCCTCCTCGGACCCGCGGCCCAGGCGCCTCCCGCACCTTCCGGGCGATGGTCCTGCTGTCCACCACCACCACCAGAAGTTGGAGGGGGGACGGAGGTGGAGGAGGAGGAGGAGGAGGAGGAGGAGGACCCCCTCCCCCTCCTGCTTCTGGTGGTGGAGGTGGAAGACGAGCCCACCACCAGGGGCCCCCCATCAGCGCGTGTGGAGGCTCGGTGATCCTCGGGGCGGGCGTTTGACTCTCCGTGCAGCTCCACCGACAGTGCGCAGCTCGTGCTGGGAGTCTTGCGGAAGCGGTTCGCATCTCGCCCGCGCGGGCCCGAAGTACGCGCCCATGAATGCTACCCGTGAAGCCATTCGGGAAGCGTGTGGTGGGGGAGTCCGAGCTTCGGTGGGATGGATCCCCACGCGGAACCGGCAACCTATGAAGGTTGGGAGCGGGTAGATATTGTACGAATTTTCCGCCTTGATTGTCATCTCTACAGCATCATAGCAGAAACAGACATCGATTTGAATGGAAGTGGCAGCCCGAATGCCCTGGACGCACCGCGGTCCGCAGATATTGAGGCCAGCAGCCAGACAATCCATGGCAAGCGAGGTCAGGGAAAGCACGCATGCGAGGGCTGGGGCGAGCGAAGGGCAGGAGGGGCTCTGGAGCAGAAAGAGCGCATCGCAGCTCGCAGGCGATCTCTGGCCCCCCCGATCCCGGAGCTCCCCCGCCCTAAAAAGTTGGCCGCCCGGAGGAGAAGGACACGTCGAGGGCGCACCCCCAGGAGGTCTTTTCTGGATGCGCCCCAAGCGAGGATGGACGCACAAACACCTATCGTAGATTGCGAAGGCCCTGCGGCCAGTGCCGCCGACACTGAATGGTGACGACGACGACGACGACGACGACGACGACGACGACGACGACGACGACGACGACGACGACGACGAGTTTGGCCCAAAGTCATTCTGTCCAGCGGGAGCCCCCCTGTCTCGAGGATTCGGATCGCCATGCCGCCCGCTGTCTCAGACGACCCGGAGGAGCTCCCGAGGAGGCGCCCTACAGTGGGGGGCCATGCCAGGAAACACCCTGCTTGCCTCCAGGGTGCCCTGGGTTTCTCGGGTTTCGATGGTTTTGTTGTGGAAAGCGTGCGCTCCCACACCGACAATCAGTGGACGTTCTGGGGTCTCAGGGTCGGGTTTCCTGTGGAAGGTTTCTTGTGGACTGGCCTCCACTGTAGAAGCCAGGATGGCTTCAAAGAAGCCACCTGCCTTCTTGGGAGCCCGCCGCCTCCTGAGACGGCCGCCCCCCTCGCCCCGCTAAGAGGTGTGCACTGACAACAAAGATTCCTGTTCGGCATGCAGGGAGTTGCGTCCGACAGGCGGTCAAGCAAACGGCGGGACGCACCCCCCGCGAATGGAGGCACAGGCGGGCGATTGGCGAGGAGAAGCAAGGCCGCCAGACGGTTGGAGAGCTCTCAGGTCGCGTAGACATTTGGGATCTGCTTGGGAGCAGACTCGCAGACGACACACCGCCAGCAAGTAACCCTGTGCGGGCGATAGTAGTACCCGGGAGATAAAAAAGTGCATGGGTTTGGCGGGGATAATCAACGAGTTTCCCGGGGAAGTAGTTAGAAGTCGTATGATGATGATGATGATGATGATGATGATGATGATGATGATGATGATGATGATGACGATGACGATGACGATGACGATGACGATGTCGATGACGATGACGATGACGATGACGATGACGATGATCATAATGATGGTGATCTTGGGCGCTCGGAACAAGACTGACTCGTGGCGGCCTTTTGAGGCCACATGCGAACCCGATTCACAATTTCTGAGGAGGAGGAAGGGTGGGAGAAGAAAGAGAGCATTAGAGTAAGAGTACTCGAAGGAAGGGAGGAAGAAGAGGGGTGGGATAAGGAAGAGCGCAGAGGATGACCCCAGGAACGATTTTCAAAAAACAACTCGATTCGGGGCCTCGGATTGTTGTGTGTAAAAACTGATTATGTTTAATCGTATTCAATTTTGCATGTAGGGGTGTCCATGATTGGACCCAGCGGGGGATTAAAAACAACCTGGGGATAAAGAAGTTCGGGGCCTGGGGGGGGAAGGAGGGGGAGGAGGAGAACGAAGAAGGAAGAGGAAGGAAGAGGAAGAGGAAGAGGAGTGGAAGAAGGAAGAGGAAGAGGAGGAAGAAGACAAGGAGATACCCTCCTCTGCTTTCTCAGCCTCGAGCCTCTTGGCCTCGAGTTTCTTGAAGAAGTTCGCAGCTTCCCCCCAGTCAGCATGTGATGATAGCAACTTCGATTCGCAACTTCCCCGGTGGATTATCAAGTTCGGCTTCCGCGCTCCTGTCCGCAATTAAATCTGGTTGAACGGGGATAATAGCAATAGAGGGGGTGAAGGGGGGTCTATTATTCTCGCCCGCACTCGGTTACACACAGCTCATCCCCGAGCCTCTGTGTCTGAGCCGAGGGGAGCGAAGAATACCATAGGCATGAAAGCTCGGAGGCCCCCGCGGATTTCTCGCATCCGCGCTGGACCCCCTCCCTGGCGCGCGGAGCGCGCCAGAGGCGCCGCCAGGGGGGCCCAGCGCGGATCCGAGAAATCCGCGCGGACCTCCGAGTTCTTCGTGCTCGTGTCCTCGTTCGCTCCCCTATACAGAGCCCCCATGGTGCCAAGCTCCTGCCCCTTTGCCAGCCCCTGCCGCCGCCCACCGGGGCCAGCCCAGGGACCGAGGCGCCCGCGACCTCTTGCAGGACCGCCCCCGCCTCCGCCGCTCTCGCCCCCCGTTGATGGGCCTGTTTTCCACCACCACCACCATAAGTTGGAGGGGGGAAGGAGGAGGAGGAGGAGGAGGAGGAGGAGGAGGAGGAGGAGGAGGACCCCCCACTCCAACTTATGGTGGTGGTGGTGGAAAACAGGCCCATCACCCGTCGCTCCTCCGAGGCCTCGCCCCCTCCCCTACGAGTGGATGTTCCTACCAGCACCGGCTCCGGCGCGGGACCGGGATCGCAGATCCCAGACCCTTTTGGAGCAATGGAACGATCACGGCGGGAGGTCTGTGGCAGCTTTCGGCATCCGGGGGCCCTCGCCGGGCCTCGGGGCCGTCAGAGAACGACTCAGGATGAGAAGCCGGTGTCGGAAAATGGGTCGAGGCCAGTGGGGGGTCGACGTTCTGAAAAAGTCATGACGTCAGGGGTCTGGGATGGCCTCACGCACCGCCATGGGATTGAGTTGTGGAATAGGGGCAGGGGGTTGAGACTCGTTTCACCTAGTTTGTTTTGCCTGCTATCGCGACCGTTGCCTCTTCGCTTTCTCTCTGCTGCCGCTCTCTACTTCAGCTCTCATCGGGGTTAGGATTCATTCCTTAGTCACCGACCGACTGGCGAGCACGAGGAGGAAGAGTGGCGTGGAATCTGTCGGCGGCCGCCTCTGAGCCGGCACATCTGCTGCGTTCGTCGGCGTCCCAGACGCTCCCAGACGCTCCAATCGCTCCCCACGCGCTCTGGCGTTCGGGCCGCCACAGGTCGCAGCAGAGGCTACATTCGCATCTTCACCGTTTCACCGCCCGTGTCGCCGCAGGCGGCGTCACGGAGGCGCCAGGGAGCTCCGGATAGCCACGGAGTGGTTTCGGATATATACAGCCGACCCACATAGTAAGGATAGGCATACCTCCCAAGGGTACCCGTGCATCCTTGCCTCCTCGGTCTATCCTTCGCCGCTTTCACTGGTTGCGCCCCGCTCGAACAGCCTCGAAATGGGCGTCCAAGGCCCTTGCATCCCTATCGCGCATCCTTCCTATACTGGTGGACCGTTCAGTCTCTCCCCACCCACCAAGCTACCCCAACCCAACCCGAAGGCGCCAATCTGCCCACCATTCCTAATGGGAGGGGCGTCGAGGATCATTGGAACAAAAGCACAGGCTGAAACGCCCCCCCCCCCCCCCCTACGCCGAAGTTTGGGTCTTAGGTTTGGGGGTGGTCTGGCAGGAAGTCAGGGAAGGTTCCCATACTATTGGTAGGGACCGGGAAGTCATAGCCAGGTCAAGGCGGAGTGGCCTCCCCAGAGGTTGGTTGAGGACCGGACCTTCGAGGTCTACGCCTTGGCCGCGCTTCGATATCGCTTCTGGCCGGCCAGATCCGATTCCATTCCGACGTTTGGATTTTTCGACGCGGCCCGGTACGGTCGGACCGAGGTATACGATCGAGGTCGGTTCGGGGGAGTCTCCCGATGTTCGTCGTGTCTGTTGGATGTTCATGTGCATCCTGGGGGAGGGTGCCCTCGAATGTTCTTCGATTTGGCTGTCGGAGAGTTTCATGGTATTGATGGATGTTCTTCTGACTTGGCCCCGACTGTTTTTGCATGGTGTTGTTGCGCATCTTGGCCTGGCCGGTCCGATTCGATCCCGATTCCGTGCCGATACGGACCGATCCAACGCACGATCCGATTGGACCCGGTTATCCGATTCGGCGCTGGCCGATTCGTTTCGCGCTACCAAAACACATCAACATACAAAGTACACCTGATTTATTCACAGACCATCTCATCCGTCAGATTCCGTTTCTTTCCCCATTTGGCGGACAGTTTGGCATGCGTTTGTAGCGCCCCCCGCCCTTCTCAATCCCCAAAATATGGAATACACATATATACATATAAGTAAATACATGTGTATACATATAGGTATATATGTATATATATATATATATCATCGATAAATATATATATATATATATATATATATATATAGATGTGTATATGTATATCTCGATGCGTATGTGTGGTTCGTACGTTGAGATCCCGTTCCGTGCCTGCTTTCTTCTACAACAGGGTTTCTGTCATGCGTTAGTCCATCGCGCGTGATGATTCGCGGCGGTGGCGTTGCCCAAGCCCCTCAGGGTACCCATGGGTCGGCTGTCCGTCGGATGGGCGCCTTCGTTGGACCAACGGCGAAGTCCCGTGAGGTTGTCACGGAAATGAAACAGTTTCGCCGAGAGTGAGAGGGACAAGGGGTGGGAGGGCCCTTCCCACCTTTTTTCACCACCTACCAAACCACCCCAACCCAACCCGAAGGCCTCAATTTGCCTTCCATTTCCAGTGGGGGGGGGGTCGGGGAACGTTGATAAAACACATGGAACCCGTACCCCCCCAACCCGAAATTCGGGTCAAATTCGGGTCTTCGGGTTGGGTTGGGGTGGTCTGGTAGGTAGTCGTTCTTCCCCTGCATCCCACCCCATCCGGGCACCGATGCCCGTCACCTCTTTTTCTCCTCCCTTCCCCGGCAATCCGTCCTGCCCGCGTTTTTGTCCTCCCTGCCGGTGCCATCCGTTTCCTGCTGTTGCCTCCCCGTCGCGTCTTCTTCCTCGTCAGCGTTCGCGTCTTTCCTCACAGGATCTTCCATCGTCCTCAGAGGAGTTGTACCCATGGCGGCGTCCACAAAGTGTCAGGACAGTCCCAAAGCACCCTGCATCCGAGTCAATCGTCTCGGGGCGCAGTGGAGTTATTCGGGATCCTCCTGGGCGGTCTTCGGGGTCGCTCGAGATTCTCTCGGGGCGTTCCCAGGCTTCTTTCTGTTGCGTGTTGGCGCCAGTGTTTTTTGGGTGCCGTATTTTGCGCTCTTATGATGAAGGCCTCTGGGGGGAGGGGCGTATTGGGGCCATGAGGTTGCCCCCTTGGGCCCTGTTGGTTGCTTTCGGGGACCACTTCCTGCACGGGGGCCCACTCACTAGGCCGCTTCTGGATCGCATTGTCGGCTTTCTCGACGACTTGCGCAGCGTTTGTTTTGGCAGTCGAGCCTCCTTTGGCATCTTGCAGTGTCTTTGGGCCTCTCGCACGTCTTGTGGCCGCTTGGAGCTTTTGTGGAACCTCGCGGACCGCCCGGCCCATCCCCTTCCCTCCCTCCATCCCTCTCCCTCCCCATCCCCCCTCCTGCCCTCCCGTTCCCTCTCCCTCCCCGCAGCGCCTTCTCTACCCATCCCTCCTCCCTCTCCCTCCCTCCCCATTCTCCCGTCCTCTTCCCTTGTCCCCCTGCTGTTCCTCCTCCCCCTCCGTTCCCTCTCTTGCCCCCCCCCCCCCCGCGGACGAGGAGGAGGACGACGCGGAACACGGGCCAGAGTCCCGACCGCAAGTCCGACACACGAGCCCCCTCGCTCGCCACCCCTCCGCCCGCGGCGCAGCCGCCACCCTCGCCGGCAGGACGACTTGCAGCGGCGGCGCGAGCGGAGGTCGAGGTCCAGGGAGAGGTGCGCCTTCGGGGGAGGGCATGGGCGCCCGCGCGGGGAAGGGGGGGGGGAGGCCGCGCCCGCGGCGCGGAGGAAGGAGGGGGGAGGAGGAGGAGGAGGAGGAGGAGGAGGAGGAGGAGGAGGAGGCGGAGGAGGAGGAGGAGGAGGAGGACGCGGAAGAGGAGGAGGAGGAGGACGCGGAAGAGGAGGAACATGAGGAACAGTAGGAACAGGAGGAACAGGAGAAACAGAAGGAACAGGAGGAACAGGAGGAACAGGAGGAACAGGAGGACGAGGAGGACGAGGAGGAGGAGGACGAGGACGATGAGGAGGACGAAGACGATGAGGAGGAGGAGGAGGAGGAGGAGGCTGCGTACCCTGTCGTGGGGACCAGTCGTGGGGAGGGGAGGGGAGCAGTCGTGGGGATGGGGGTCGCTTCGGGTGATTTCCGATGTGCAGGGGGAGAGGTTCGTCCGCCTTCCCACTTGGCGTATGCTGGCCAGCCCCGTCAAGTTGAACGTGGCACCTTGCCACCGCCAGAACGGCCCAAGCCTCCCTGACGCTCGGCGGAGGCCCCCGTCGGCGGCCCCGAGGCCAGCGTGTCGGGAACCCAACGCCTGCTTGCAGGCGAGGGATCCCGCCGTTGGCCTCTGGGTCGCCCGTGGTGGATTCCTGTAAGCAGAGGGAGAGGCCCTTGGGCCTGCCCTCTGGGCGAGCGTGGCGAGGGCACGCCACCGCCACCGCCACCGCGCTTACCATCCGCCACCAGCCATGCCTCGTCGCACCTTTGCTCACAGTCATGGTGATCGTCGTTTGATTGTTGACACGTGTTCAACTGTCAATTGCTCGCATACCTCCCCGCATTGCAAGGCCTACCTCGCCTGACCGGGCAGCTTCAGAGAGAGCTAGCCGCCTCACCGCGCAGCTCCGGGCTGCCCAATCCTGGCACGGTTGCCAGACTCGCCTGGCCACCGCCGGCAGCCAAGGTGCTGGCCACGGCAGCCGCGAACAGCAGGCTCAACCGTGCCGCGCCGCCTCACTGGTGGCTGGCCACGGTGGGCAGCTCAGAGTGTGTGTGTGTGTGTGTGCGTGTGTGCGTGTGTGCGTGTGTGCGTGTGTGCGTGTGTGCGTGTGTGCGTGTGTGCGCGTGTGCGCGTGTGCGTGTGTGCGTGTGTGCGTGTGTGCGCGTGCGCGCGTGTGTGTGCGCGTGCGCGTGCGCGTGCGCGTGCGTGTGGGTGGGTGTGTGGTGTGGGTGGGTGTGTGGTGTGGGTGGGTGTGTGGTGTGGGTGGGTGTGTGGTGTGGGTGGGTGTGTGGTGTGGGTGGGCGCTGGCCCAACAGGGCGAGTAAACCCCGGAGGAGGGGGGACCCACCAGGCCCACGGGCCTTCCACGTTTTCACAGTGCGGCCGCCACGAGCCGGCGCCGCGCTGCCCAACACTCCCAACTCGTACCCTTCCTTCCTCGTTCATATCCTGTGTCGGATAATGATAGACCTCCTACCCTGACACGTCGATTCGCGAATTGGCCGCGTTCGGTTCGCGAGAGAGCGTCGCGGCCGTCATTTTTGCGGGTCCAGGTCTGTCGGTTTCGGTCCCAGACCGTTTTCACGAAAGGGTGGTGAACTAAATGGAGCTTTGTCCACCGCCGAATGAGGCATCCTTTTGTCCTTCCTCCTCATTTCAGTTGTCTGTCTGTCCACTATATTGCCGCCACGGGCCTGCGCCACGCGGCCCAACCTTCCTTACTCGTCCCGCCCCTGTTCTCGGTAATGATCAGGTCCTCTCCCCTCCTCCCTTCCCCGAGCGCCTGTCTTTCTCCTGCCCAGCACCCGCTCCACGACGTGCAACTGCGCGCGTGTCGGTGTGCCCCCTGGAGCGGTGTTCCAAGGGCTGACTAGTTTGATCAAACCCCTCTCGGGGCCGACGGGCCCCAAGGGGATGGGGTGGGGTTGGGTAGGGCGGGTGGGTGGGGGGGGGGGCAGCGTTCGGCATGCCACGAGCTTGCAGGTTCCAGGAGGAGAGAGAGGAGGAGGGGGAGAGGAGGAGGAGGAGGAGGAGGTGGAGGAGGAGGAGGAGGAGGAGGAGGAGGACGACGACGACGACGAGGACGACGAGGACGACGAGGACGAGGCGGACGAGGAGGAGGAGGAGGAGGAGAGGACGAGAAGGACAAGGACGACGACGATGACGAGGAGGAGGACGACGACGACGACGAGGAAAAAGCGGAGAAGGAGGAGGAGGAGCAGCAGGAGGTGGATGAGGAGGAGGAGGAGGAGGAGGAGGAGAAGGAGGAGGGGGAGGAGGTGGAGGATGAAGAGAAGGAGGAGTCGCGTGGAATTCTTTTGGGTCCAGACACAACATATGCATCACATAGACGCAGAGCATTATTATGCGGCGGAAAGAAAAGAAGGACGACGGCGACTCAAGACGACGACAACGTCGAGCAACAGCGTTCGGAGCAGGGGGCCTCCTTGCCCTCGCTCCCTCCCCTCCCCTCCTCATCCTCCTCCCCCTCCTCTTCCTCTTCTTGTTCCCATTCCTCCTCGTCACCCTACTCGTCCTCCTCCTCCGCCTCCCTCTTCCCTGCTCTCTCCTTCTCTTCCCACCAGCGATCAATCCTTTCTGTGCTTCGTTGCTCCTCCCCCTCCCTCTCTCGTCCACCCGTTTCGCTCGTGGGACTGGTGGGAGCATTGTAGGAGGACCCGCGTGATCCCAGAATGTATCCGTTGGGGTACAGCTTCCGTCGAAACTCCCTCTTCATGGGCCCCATTCAAGGATTCATTTC